ACATCAGTTTTGACACATAACAACGGACAATCTTCATGATATTCAACATATAATAAAAGACATAACAAAACACAACGATGAGATTAGAGAAGAAACCCCACCCATTCAGCATAACATATAACCATCGATGGGATTAGAGAAGAAACCACACCCGTTCGGCATAGCATACGACCATCGATAAGATAAGAGAAGAAACCACACCCATTCAGCATAACATATAACAAATGCAAACAAAATAATATAAGAAAAACGATTTCAGATCGCATCATTTAGAGATTGTTTATAACTCATCTTTGTGGTGGGAGCAAAAAAGAATTTATGTTAATCTAGCTGGAGAAAAGGTGCTTTCTACCATTCGCTTACCATCCAATTGGAGCCAAAGGAGTCCCTCCTTCCTTTGATATTTGCAACGACAAGTTGGATGAGTTTACTGTCGAACGAAAATATTTGGTAGGGCTTCTTTCTATTATTTAGTGTGAAATACCCAAAATACCCCTTCTCTTACATGTGAGTCATTAACACGTGTTCGTTAATAGGGGTTAACGTCGTGGGAACCGCACGTTCCTTGGGAACGTGTTCTTTGGGAGAGTCAAATTTTCATTCCCAAAGAATACGTCCTTTGGGTGTTGCTCTCACGCGAGAACACCTTGTTTTTTTTTTTTTTGTATTTCTTGTACCAAATGTTTTATGCTCCGTGAGAACACTAGGAACGTGTAGAGTTTCCAAATAGGGCATTAATTTCTATAACTATCTTGGTGTTCCCCTCAATTAAAATTGTTATTTAGCTACTTCTCTTGGCCATTTCATGAGCTTCCAATAAGGCAGCCAAAACTTAAATTACATTAATGGTTGTCTTGAAAACAAGGTTCAAAGTATCGATACACCCAATACGCATGAACACGTGTATATCAGGTACTTTGGTACTATAAAAAATATTATTTTTTTATGTTTTTTGTATTTTGATGAGTGGTCAGTTTAAATGTTATTTAACATTTAAAACTGACTGTTTTGAAAAATACCTTCAAAATAGCATATCACCACTTGGTGATACAATACAATACGGGACATATCACATCGATACTTTGAACCTTGCTTGCAAATAACTTTTTAGTATCTATTATTTGTCCTTCCCTATTCCTCCAAATACACCCAAGTTGATCTATGATGGGGAAATTATCTATCTTGGGTAGGGGTTAGCAAATGGGTAGGTTCTACCTGGACTCGAATGGAATCGACCTCGAATCGGCCTTGAACCATCCTACCCAATCTGTTACAGGGGCAGGGTTTGGTTCTAAATTATTGAAACCGGTCCCCACCCAGGTTGGTTCTAGAGTCCAGGGGTTTACCCTACCCGAACTGGCCTTGGTTGGCATTGGTGGATCCAAACTTACCTTGAAATAAACTCCAAAATACTTTTTGGGATGTGAAGATCTGAATCCGAGCACTCATGGTTACAAAGGCCATGGTCTCACTTGACCATTGAGTTATTCAAGTGATTTGATCATTTATTTTCATTTTAATATTTGAATGTGTACAATAAGTAATGTAAAAGTTAATATTTACAAAATTTAAATTTAAATTATAAGTTTTGAATAATGATAATCTACATATTAAGTTACTCAATTTAATCAATAAAGATAATATAAGTTTTAAACTATATATTATATTTATTGAAAATCAAATTTTAAGAAATATGATTCTTTTCTTTTCTTTTTTTTTTTAAAGGGAGAGAGTAAAGAAAAAATAGGTTCCATGGGTAGACCTCGGAACCAACTCCGGAACCATCAAGGTTAGAACCAACCTTCACAGGGTAGGTTCTGATTCCAAAAACCTAGATTTGACCCCTATAGGATAGGTTCCAAGTTCTGCCATGGAACCAAACCAAACTAAGCCATGTTCACCCCTAATCTTGGATATTGACCAAACACGAAACATGGATGATTTATCAATTAATCTCTACTGAAACTCCCAAGTTACTCAAAACATGGATTCAATTCATAGCTTGCCTCTGTGGAGGTATCGTCCAACATTAAATCATATATGATATGACATTTATTTGGTGATGTTTATCCAATGCTTTACCTTGATGTCATTTTTGCAAAACTACTAATTTCAAAGGATGCATCTTGTCCCATATGCAATCTTAAGAAATAAGAACACCTCTCCTATTGTAAATTCTCTCTTTCCAAATTTGATTAGTCTCTAGATTGATTTATTCATGGATGAATACACTAATTCAAACATTTGTTTTGCAAGCTAGGTATACATATTAATTGCTTCATACTTATAAAAAACATTGACAATTTAATCAATAATAGTGACACTTTTGTCTACATTTCTATTTAAGTTGTATACAAATTGTGTTTCTTCTGTCATCTACTTTACAAATTGTTTCCTACATGCACATGTGCATGTGTATACACAAATTTACTTAAACAGCCCTAACTACCCACATGTATATTTAATTATATAATGCTAACTCTCAGTAGTAGAATATTAGAATATTTAATCCCCTTGCTTGATTAATTTTGTTATACTACTCTAAGAAGTTGTTCATCAGTCTGATAAGGATAAGCTTTTGACTTATCTTTATACAACATCTAATGGAAATAAAATCTCTTGATCAAGTGTTAATCAACTTATCAAAGTCATTCTATGGGGGGCTTTGGAAGCTTGAATCCAGATTCTCAACCATAATATCCTTTTATTAGCACATTGGTTAGAATGTTGATTACAGATTAATTATGGGATATCCTAATCCCCTCTCTCACTTGTCTACTATATTTGTCTATCTTTTTCAATATCTTTCCCTTAAAAATGAAGAAGAATTGGTCTCACTGTGATCCTTGCATTAGTCATCCAGGTTGCTAGAAGCCTAGAACCTTGTTTTTCTAATCCTACAGCGTGCTTATTAATGGGTTAATTTTAAGGTGATTACTTAGACACCCCCAGTGGTTTCTAGTATTTACTAGAACCTATTCTATAGTTTGGAACAATTTTACTTATCACTGCTTTTCCTTATATGGGGAAAATCTATGGTGCGGCAAATCATAGGGGGGTGTTTTAGTAATATGCAAACCATTAGGTAGATTTTAATAAATACGTGAAACTATAGGGGGTATCTAAGACCCTTAATTTTAATATGAGATATTTTAATTGCATCAATTAGGTTATCTGAAAACCAAAATTTCAGAATATTCTTTGAATATACCTAAATATTCTTAATAATTTTGTTAGGATTTTGCAAAAATGAATGTTCATTAATTTTGCTACCCTAATTTGACCTATAAACCAAAATATGACTACTCATGAAAAAATGTTGCTGAAATACTAAAAAAAAATGAAGAAAAAGTGTTACTTAAGGCTGTGTTTGGTTTGATAGAAAATATGAGAGAAACACAAAGCAGAGGCAAAGTTACTTGAAAAAAATTGTGAAATTTCTTAAGAACTTTACCTCAACCTTTTGTGTCTCTCTTATTTTATTTATTTATTTATTTTGTCAAGCCAAACATACCCTAACAGGAACTAAGGGTGTTTAATACAAGGTTGACCTCTAAGAATGTTTCAAATATAATAGTTTCCAATGAAAGCTTGTATCAACTCAAGCGTGCAATAAGCACTTAATTAATCCAACTTGTTCAGTCCTTGAAGTGCTAGTTTTACCTTCAAGTGTTGTCATTAACAAACCTTGATTCCATTAAAAATCCAACCAAATATCCGGATCCGGATATTCGATCCGACAACAAAGAAGGTCTGTATAACCGAGAACGATTCTGGTATTTGCATGTCATGCAAGTCGGATGGATTGGTCTAGATTTATGGTGAATTCAGGTCCAATCCTAAGATTTGGGTAAATACTATAATTTGATGCATTCAAGTTGGATTTGGGTCCAGGTTAGGCTTAGGTTGGTTAATAAATCTATTCTAAAATTACACATGTATGTATGCATGTATGTGTATGAATGTGTATAGTTAGATTTAGGGGTGGCCACGAGCCGAGCTCTTCACGAGCTACTCAAGCTCGGATATATATAGACAGAGAGAGAGAATAAAATATATAATAAAAATATTATAATTATAATTATTGTAATTCTTATTTTTTTTAAATATTAAATAAAAAATATTTTTATATATAATTTTTTCTCAAATCGAACTCGAGTCGAGTTCAAGTTCAAGGTTCTAGTTCGAACTGAACTCGATCTTGGGCTCGAGCCCTGTAATACATTGGCAAACTGAGCTAGAACCTCATACTATTCGGTTTGGCTCGGGTTGGGATAAAAGGGCTGAGTTTGGACTACCTAAGGGCTAGGCATGAAACCCAGCCTGAAAAATAAAAAGCTCAAAATCTTAGGCCTTAACCCTAAAATCCAAACCCAATTCATAAAAAATTTCGGACTGGATCGGTCCGAGTTCAGGTTCGGCCCGCCCAGGTTTCACCCAGTTGGATTTAACTTGTTGGACTGCCGGACGGGGTCGTGGGTCCTCTCTGACATCAAGCCCGACAAGCTCCGCTCCCGATGCCGAGGCGCTCAAATCATACCTATATATATGCCTTATGGCCCTTATCCATTCAGAGCCTTATCTATTCTTCTTCTTAACCAACACGCATTATTGTTAAACAAAGCGTGATTCTCCTCGGAGACCTTACAATTGACATAGACCCATCAGATTGGAACAGGGCGAAGCCAAACTTACCACGTGGCAAACTATCACATGCAGAGGGTGGGACCCACGGTAACTCAGTTTGGACGGTGCAGAGAAGTTTTTACTGTGTACTAACTAAGATGGGTAAATTATAGTTATCTTGATCGTCTATACTTATTATGTGGGACCCACATAAGGCATGGCCCTGATCATATTCTACACGTGGCTCGTAATGAGATCTCCAGGGAACAATGTCACAATGACGACAGGTACGCGATGTGAATGCTCTGCCTGCCTTTGCGAATTGCGAGTTTGCGACTCATGCCGTCTTGGTCCCTCCCCTTTAAAGAGTTAGATCTGAGATAATTCAGTTGTAACATGGGGTGTACGCAGGTCGTTTATCTATTGTTGCTATATAAGTGAGTGAGTGGTGATGACTGGTGACTCATCCCATCACCAGACACCAGTTCCCACCACCTTCATCCCTCTTTGCGCTGTCTGCTCGAAACTTGGAAAGACGAGAGAGAGAGAGAGAGTGAGAGGGAAAAAAACTCTGTAAATTTCTCTTATCTTTGTTTGATTCTTCTGGGTATGCCTGGCAGAACCAGTAGAAGGCTAATGGTTTGGGGCTTACCCAGTGTATCGGGGGTTTTCGGGGTCTCGGCCATGGACGATGGTTTCGATGACATCTTGTTGAACCACGTTTCCATTGCTACTTCTTCGTCATATCCATCTGTGTACTTGATTGAAGCAACTGGTTCTGCGAAGCTTAAGATCGTTACTTTCAACAAGGCCTCTCCCGAGCCCCCCCCTGCCGTTGCCTCTGCTTCTGACAAAGAAGACGCGTGATTCTTCTTCCTTCTCTTATCTTCCTCTGTTTCTTGACTCCTCCTCCCTTTTGTTTTTCTTGATTCTTCTATTAAAGGAATTCTGCGTCATTTTCCTCTTATCATTTTGAAATCGTCATCGCCCCTGGTCTCTCACTCGGCAACGATGGCAACAATGAATGTGGTTGCTACTTGTTTAATTGTATCCTCCGACTCTTCCCGCCTTGACGGTTGTAAAGATCGCTTCTCTCTCAGGTAAAACAAAAGAAAGCAACTGAAACTCTCTTGTGGGTGTTTCTTTATTCTTTCTCTCTGCCAATTCTTTTTGTGAGCACTTCTACTGTTTGAGTTTATGTTTCTGTATGTAAATTTCTTGTCTGTTATAGTTTTACAAGTAGAGGTCGGACAAGGTTTTTTTGTGCTACCCCCCTTTCTTCTTACGATCAGGTATGATCGTCGATGGAATGGGAAGAAGACGCACAGGAGCCTTTCCCCGCTGGCTGCTGCCGCTACCCTTTTTAGCAGTCAGAGGAGGGCTTATTCGTCCCGCTCTGATATTTACCAGGAGGTCTGTTTCAGTTCCCCCTACCCATCGTTACAAATGCCGTTCTCGCGATTCCACACTTTACCATACAATTGTAGCATTCATTCATCTTAAGACCAGAATCAGAATCTCGCTCGGTGGTCACGATGATACGATGCGCCAGTCGAGAATTCGAGAGCTAATCGGCAGATTCTTCCTCTACCTCAATTTAAACTTTTTAATCTTTCTCATCCATCATCTCTGATTCCTTTGCTTGTCTGTGTAAAACTGTTGCAGGTCCACAAGGCCGCCAGGGAGAAATTTACCCAGGAAATCTCCTTCCAGTCCAAGGATAAAGACGTTTCTATTGCTAAGGTATACCCTACTCTCTCTATTAACGTCGGCAATTCTCTGGGGACCATTTTCTCTTTGACTTATTCGTCCATTTTCACTTGCAAGTTCTGACTTATCATACACACTTGCATTTCTGCTATTGGCTTTCTTTGATTCTAAAACCTTCCTGCATTGCGAACAATTACTTGGAATTCTACTCCAAATTTTCTTTCTTATGCTCTTTTTGAGATGACTGCGAGGCTTTGATTATCAACTGAAAATTGCGATTCACTTATAAAAAATATAAAATCAATATTTTGATCAATTCCACGCAGGTTTTTTCCTGAATCTTGATTTTCTAAATCAAACTTTGAAGATATTTTGGAATTTCAAGTTTCAATTGGAGAACGTTGTTCCTGTTAAGTGTACATATTTGTCTGTACTGAAGTTCCTCCTCCATTCCTTCAGGCTTTACTGTATGTTGCTACGGAAGATGAAGCATTTATGGCTTTAAATCGAGAAAAGGATGCCAAGTCATTCATGAATGAAAGAACGGATGCCCCAGTCCCATTTGAAGCACAAGAGTGGGATTGCTTGGAAGCTGTTTCTTTAGCTGGTAGGAGCATATATGACTGCTTGGATGAGCTGGATTCTATTGCCAAAGAAGTGGAAGCAGAGTTGGTTTCAAGGGATATAGGTTGTCATTTGGTGGAAGTTTTGGAGGCTGTGAATTTAGTTCTTTTCGAATCAAGAGGCTTCAAAAGGTTTCCCGTACTTCAAGACCCGAAGTATTCTTACTTGCCTTCGGTGCTAAGCTCTGGGGGTGGCAGTGGTAAAGCATTATGCTACATGTCCTTAAATATTGGCAGCTTGTGTACTTGTTCTCCTTACCATAATTGAATTCTCTCAAGGGCATATTCCATGATTTTCTCTTGGATAATTACATCATTCCTCTTTATGTAAAATATATTATCTTTTTCCTCAAGTGAACAAGAAATTTCATCTGATGTCATAATTACTCTGTTGGCACCACAGCAATTTTGCTCAGTGTCATCTATATTGAAGTTTGTCGAAGACTTGGTGTGACTATTGTTGGTTCTCGAGTTGGGGAAGATTTTTTGATTTGGCCCCAAACTGGTAACCCAGAGGTGTGCTAATTTTGCAAGTTTTATCCTTATATTGTCTCTATGCTCCTGTTTATTACAGTGAAAGTGGTTTATTTGGTTATGAGTTTCACATTATCCCTTCGTGACTAACATATTTACCCATTTCTGTGGTTTATACATTTCAAACCAGCCCTAATTACATTAATTTTAACAGGTTAACATCTTAATATTGCCTTCTCTTTCCTGCAGGAGCTTTTCAGGGTTTCATCAGGACATAGCATGTTTGCCACAGTTAATGGAAGGTGTGTGGAGGATCCTAGATCAAAGGCTTCTGACTTGACCAGCAATTCACTTTTAGGGCTTGATATTGCAACCAATAGAGACATCATTGGGATAGCTTTGGCTAACCTGATTGTAAGTTGTATTATTGTGATTTATAAAGGCATTTTATCTCTGTCAAAGTGTGAATATCTTTTGAAGATAATATTACCTACCTCATATTGTTTTCATTATTGCATTCAATTATTTTGTTCCATTTGCAGAGGCTTCATTGGAAACGGGCCTCAAGGATGAACCGTGGATTGATGCTGACTTCTCCACTCAGGCCTGTTTATGATAAGAATGGAAAATCAGGCAATATTGATGGTTCAAAGGTTCCTTTGTTGCGCCCTCAAGATTTGAGGTAATTATTCTTCTGTTCTTTATCTTCTATTTATATTTTCAAAGTTTATTTTGAAAGACTTCACTGAGGTAATATTTTCATAGTTAAATAAATGTATGCAAGACTGAAATAACAATAGATGGGAACATGGAATTTGGATTCTACAGGTCATTTTTGTGCCTCAAATCTGAAGGGATGCCTAAAAATATTATCTTGTGGTTATCTATTGCATAATCTTTAGGCAACTGAGCAAGCTTACTTGTCTTTCTTGTGATATCATAGACCATCCATGGTAGATAGTTGCATCTTTGTATAGATTTTCTGAAAGTCATTGGGTCATGCTCCTTTCTCTGTGTTCTAATCAGTTCTTCCAAGGACTCACCAAATGGATGAATTATCCATGTTGCGTTGTTTCTTTTGTGGTATCTCCCTTTTCTTTTTCTATTTTATTCTTACACTGCTTGTATACATCTAGCATATATGATGAGATCTATCAATCATTATTGATACTTTTTAAGTGTCAAATGAAGTTATTGTTAATTTATAACATTTTCTATCTAAATATCTGATTATTACCTTGTGTAAAAAGCAATATCAAGCAATTAGTTGTGACAACAGTTTTGCTCTTCTAATTCAAGAGCTTTGTAATTGATTCTCCTTATAAATTTGTTTTTGTGATTATTCTATTGAAGTAAATGGTACATGCATTAAAATGCTATTATCTATAACTTCTTCCTGTCTGTCCCGAAAATGAGTGGCAGAAATGCATATGCTGAGATGGACAAGTGGAAAAACTAGAAAGGATAGGATCAGAAATGAAGTGATTTGTAGGAATTTAGGAGTAGCTCCAATAGGTGATAAAATGAGAGGAAGTATACTAAGATGGTTTGGTCATGTGCATAGAAGACCATCAACAGCATCTGTAAGAAAAAGTGAATTTGTTACAAGTTGAAAGGGTTAGAAGGACAAGGGGTAGACCAAAAAGGACTAACATTAAATAGAATGGACTGGTGAAACAGGATTCATGTAGCCATAGCCATAGTGAGGCTATGGCTAAAGATTATGCAACACAGGCGTTCCTTTTCTCTGTTCCCTCTGGGCTCCTGGTTCCATCCATGCCTCTGCAAAATCTGTTCCTGATTCCACCACAACACCCCCCCCCCAAAGAAAAGAAAAAGAGGAAAAAAGAGAAAAGTAACTATTCTCTCAATCAAAAGAAAGAAGGATATAGGTAAGCTTTGACCAAGAGCTGGTTTGAGTTTCTACTCTTAATCATTGACCACTGAGGCACAAAGATCAATTCCATATGAGAGTCTGGGATGCTCTTCTACTTAATATGGTGTACTATCTTATGATTTGGCGATCTCCAACCAAACTTGACTGGTGAAGTTATGGCAATTCAATGATTTAAGTGCATGCTCCTGGGGGTATTTGAGGATGTGTAATGAGGAATTCCTATGTTTGCTTAATTTGAACTATATATAATTTATCTGAGTTTTGAGGACTACAGACTTGGTAAACCTGCATTATCTTATATTTGAGGGTCAGTTGGATCCTTAATGTGGCAACGTGGTTATGGAATTAATAAGCTACAAGCCTTTTTCCAGTAAGAAGGCATTCCTAATTGATGAATCTTTAGATAGAGAAGCATAACAACTGGTAGAATTTATCCTTGTTAGTCAGGGGTTTAGTCAGTAGCCAGATTGTGGGACAGATGCGAGGAAGTGAGGGCACCTTCTTCTACAAACCTTTTTCCAGTAAGAAGGCATTCCTAATTGGTGAATCTTTAGATAGAGAAGCATAACAACTGGTAAAATTTATCCTTGTTAATCAGGGGTTTAGTCAGTAGCAGATTGTGGGACAGATGAGAGGAACTGAGGGCACCTTCTTACACAAGTGAATCATTGTTGGTGGAAATGTCAGTCACACAAGTCTACCTTTTTCTCCTAGTAAAATTCTGTGTTGGTGTTTGTAGAACCATAAATATGTAAGCATTTTAGAACATGAGTGCGGATGGATGGGGTGGACCTTTTTGAGTGGCTTTGTGACTAAATGGATTTTGGTAAGATGTGATGACTGTACAAACTGGCCCTAACTGCCTTATGAATGGTTCTCTAGATATTTGGATGCAACTAGATGAAGTACACTGGCTTTGGTGATGACTGCTATTGATAATAGCTGGTGGTCTTATGCTGCATTTGATTAGACATGCTCTACAATAAATGCAGTAGGGCATATTAACCATGATTGCCTCTCATGTTTGCACTCAGCATTGCAATGTAGATAATGGATTATGTGGACCATGTTCCAGGGATTTGCTGATAAATGAGTTGACAAGGGTGCACTACTCCTTCAGTAAAGTCATGTCCCCACCTGCCAAGTTTGTCTAGCCCGGAGAAAAAGAAAATAACCTACAGTCAAGTCATGTATTGGCTTTTCTTTTTTCATATAGTAATATCCTAATTTTATAATAACTTTATCCATGATGAGTTTTACCACTACTTTTTTAGATGGCTGCCTAAAATATCCATGTTAGTTAATGCTTTTACCACTAACCTACAGTCAAGTTGTGGGACGTGACATTTGTTGTCATTCCTTGAGCAAGAACAAAGGGTAAAAAAGAGGCATTTGTTTGCTATGCCATATCTGCAGGGTTGATTTTGTGTTTGAAGGAAAAGAAAATAATACTTCTATCTTCTATTCATTCAATCTGCATATAAAAATGGTGATGACATTTGTTGTAGAATTTCTAATTCTTTCTTTTTATTTATCTGTTTCCCAAAAAAAAAGAAGTTTTCTTCCTTTTTATGTTCTCATGTTCTCATGTAATGTAATTTTTTTTCTTATATATTTCTATAATGCAGGTTGGCTATAATGGCATCAGAAAGATTGTTGATTCTGCAGCCACATAATTGGGCTTTGAGGAGAGACCATGGCATGCTTTTATACTACAGCAGGTGTGTACATATCTCTAGTCTTGTATGGTAACTTTTAAAATTGGTTATATTGATTTCTCTGAAGGTCTTTAATTAACTCTAATAAATTGTGGTCGATGTAGGGACTATGGAGAGGCAGTCCAAGAGCTTAGCATATGCATGGCATTTGCACCTGTAGAGGAGGCAGAAATTCTTGAGCCATTTGTTGAGAAATTGCATTTGTTGCGGCTTGAGTCATCATGGAAGTCTTTGGACCACACTAACCGATTGGCAGTTCCTTGACTTCTTGTACACCAACTTTTTTTCTTTTCCTCATTTCTTTTGAGTTTTTGTCATAGATATGCTAGAAGAAAAAGTGGAAAAACAAAGAGCTATATCATATATGTAATGGTCTCTGTAATTTTGGTCTTGTTTTCACTCTGGTTCATGTATGGTATCAGTGAGTGAGTTGAGAATCGGCAGATTAAAATATAGGTCTTTCTCTCAATGACTCTAGAGACATGTAGTACAATGTTTTCGACACTTGAACCTAGACACCTTTAGTTGAGTCAAGAGAAGATGCTTCCCACTTTCCAGAACCAGAGAAATACGAGATAGAATCAGATTGCATGATGGATGGATGGCGCATACCAATCCTTGTCCTTTTTGACCATTGACGAGAGGCGAGAGCAATTAATAAATCCTATTCCAAGACACAAGGGGAGGTGGTTGCATTACAGTGAGCGTTAAAGTCAATTTATTATGCAAGCACACTTTCCGTCCGTCTGTGTTTAGATATCCGTCCTGCTGCCTTCATGAGTGCTTGGTCAATGACTCAATGGTCCAGACTCCAGGCCTCCAGGGGGGATGTATCTCTGTATATCCAATCTAACAACCTTAAATAAAGGTAGGCATCCAATTCTGATTTCTGATGTAGACAATAAATAGCCTATTGATTCACATTCAGTGGAGTGGAGCCGTGGAGGTTCCCCCAGTCCCTACCTACCCTTTGCTGGCCCTATGTTTCTCAAGTCCTTCACAGTTCACAAGATCACATCACATCCAATGCTGGACTGTCGGGTAGAGGATTGTGTACAATTACAAATATGAATCATTGGAGCATGATTCATGCTCCCTGTGGTCGATACCCAATACTTTGACTTCTTCTGGCACTTGCTAAAATTTGTTAGAATCTGCAATTTATGTATCTCAGAGCTTCCTCAATCTTTCTATCTCTTAGATCTATATAAAACTCTATTATTCATCAATTAATCCCAACTTCTAAACCCATATTTTGATATCAGCGAGTAGGGTTTAGCTTGGTCTACAACTACAATCGTGAAATCAGAGCCTGGACTCTGTTTCATCGTGGGATTTGATGGGTGCATGAATCCAATCCAAACCATGGGTCAGACTGTTGGACCATTAATTTAATTCATTAAAAAAGTCTTTTAAAGCTTGTTCACATCAAAACAGGCTTTTAAAGCTCGTTCACAAGATGTCCCCAGTCAAGAGTTTTTGAAACATTAGGTAGCCGATGTCAGGACAAGTCCGGATCTGCTATCCACTAGAAAATTACCCACAAGACATTACAGCCGAACATCAGGAACATCTCCCATGTAGGTAGTGTAGATCCGAGCAACTACACTCATCTGGTCCAATATCGATTAGATATGGCCAGGCGGAGATGGCTTCTCAAGTCAATCTATGCGGTGGGAGCAAACAAATTGAAGTTGAATTCCAATTGTGACGTTGCAAGTTGCAAAAACAAAACAAAACCAACCGGTTTGAAAGAAAATTGATTCTTAAAACAAAAACACAGAAAACATGTGCAAGGGCACGACCATGCACGTGCAAATAGAGTTTACATTGGCGCCTCACAGGGCCCAATTACCGTGTATTGGGAACATCTCCCAATGACTTCCTAATGTATGCTGAGACGTGCATGTGGGCGTCTGCCATGTGATCTCGTGCAAATAAGTTTACATTATATAATCAAGTTTAACTTTATGACCTACAGGGAAACTCAGGCAAGTATCCTTTATATAATATATAGATGTTTTCATATGTTATTTAATATAATATACTACAAATTATATAATTTCTACACTATAAAAATTGTTTAGTTTTAAAAATAATTATTTTGATGACTTTAAGAACATGTATTGTTTTTTAAAATAAATCAGCTTGTTTTATTTTTGAAAACAAAAACATGGTTCAAAAACATATTTATTGTTTTTCTTTTTTTTTTTTTTTCTAATGCGGCAATTTTTACAAAAAATATGAAATAAAAAGCATTTATATCCTAAAACATGACCTCTACCTATACATCACTAGCTTTCTTCACAAATCTTTCAATTTACACGAGTTTGTTGTGTTTGTCAACTTGCATTCTTCCCCTTCAGGATTGGCTTGAACCTAATCAAGGTAAATGTGGAATTCAGTCCACTTTCAGACTCTAACCAAGCTGCAACATTAAGGTTGTATTTGGTGACTTCAAATCAGCCCCCCACAATGTCCCACAGCACATCCTCGCCGTTTATTGGGAACATCTTCCGATGATATACCAAAAATAATGATGTCATCATTAGAAGATGTTCCCAATACACAGCGGGGATGTGCTGTGGGACGTTGTGGGGGGCTGATTTGATCTCATATTTGATACCATTGCTGATTTTAACTGAAACATTTTAGGTTGATCGATATAAATTTGCATATAATTGTTATTTGAAGTTATTTATGATTGAAATAGGCATACCTTAAAAATACATATGTGAAAGGCTGTTTGTAGAAACATCAAATTGGTGTTTCTTGATTCACGGGAGTAAAATCTAATCATTCTATCTGAAGTAACTCTCACATATGATGTGACAACACATTTCTCACCAATTCGTATTGATCAACCCAAATTGTTTTAGTTTTGGTACTTTTGGTGTTCCAACCTACATTATGCCACTGTTTGTAGTTGAATTCTATTTGGTGAAAAATGTGTATTTTTTATCCATGTCATCACCATATTGTTGCCACATCAAGCAAAAAAAACATCAAATTGATGTTTCTTAAAGCACCCCTGATTTATGTTTCAAATAAAAACATTTTATGACTATTTTAACTTAAAATACTTGTAACCAAACAGAAAATTGACCATTAAACTCAAAACATATAAATGGCACACGATGTGGCAGTGCTTCAAGTAGAAACAGCTATATTACAAAGTACAAACATCCCTTAATTCAAGAGTGGATAATTATGTGGATGGTTTTATAATTAATAGGTCCAGTCAGTTTTCTCTCATTTTTTTTTCATGGGCAAGGAATTTGCAATCAAAGATTTGGGCTCGTTACACTGCTTTTTAGGTGAAGGTGATGTTTTGAGACCAATGTGCCGTGTAAATGTTGGGTCTAAAGTGCTACACAACATCATAGCCATTGAACTTCAAATGGTGAGGCTTTTGAAACAGTCTATATGGCATGTTTCAATATAGGCTCTATGTACAATATATAGGTCATGTTTGGTACCATATTGACCATTTTCTCAGATAACATTTACATGTTAGAGATGGTAAAATGGCTCTATGTACAATTTAGCCAGATAGGTACCATTAGGTGCCACATAGACTAAAATGTAGAAAATGTTGATACATTGTAAGAAGCTTTATTTTAGTGTTTTTTTTTCAATGGTATATTTCACATAATCTAAGGTATTTAAAGTTACTTGAAATGCTTCAACCACACAATAAATGTAAGTGATGGAACTACATGTCTACATGGCATTGATGTGATGCAATAATAAAAATATTCCACCACCTTGTTGTTAGGAGTGCAACTTGGGCGGGCCCAGCCTAAGTCCAAACAAACTCAACCCGAAATTTTACATGGATTGGGCTTCGCTTTTTGGTCCTTAGGTTGGGCTTGGGCCCAAGAAGTTGGGCTTTTTTATTTTTTAGGCCAGTCCTATGCCTAGCTCTTAGGTAGCCTGAATTTGGCCTGAGCTTAGCCCAACTATACACATTCATACATATATATGTATATATTTAAATTTTCATACATATTTACATATATACATAAATATGTGATACATATTTACATATATACATAAATATGTGATACATATTTACATATATATGCATAATTTAGAGTGGGTTCATTGATTAACCTAAATGCATCAAATTACAATGCGGGTTGGGAAGCCCAGGTTGACCATAGCCTGGCCCAACCTGACCGAATTGCACCCCTTGTGATTGTTGCTCTCCCAATTTTGAAGTAAAAAAAAAAAATAGAGAAAAATCTTTGTCATCTTGGTGACCACTAGGAGTCTAGGACTGGAAAAGCTTCTATAGTTCTGATTGGTAGTTGTTACTAATGTATTGTTGTCCACTCCACTGTACATCTATTGGTTTTTTGGTGTTTTGTTGCTTGCATCTAACTAATACAAAACCCATAAGAGCATGAACTATTGCTGGTTTTGCACCAATATTATTCATTGTTTTTGGGCCATTGGCATATGTATGTTTCCCTCTTAGAAGTTAGAACTCTTCTTCTTAGATTCTTAGATTGATATTGATATTCTTAGATTGTAGTGAACTCTCCTTTTTGGAAACTAAAGGGAAATGTATAAAGAAAAGAAACAAGAGTATCAAAGCAACTTAATAAATAACCACAAGCCATTACATTCTAGAATTTTAATTTTTTAATACCCAAAAAGTAAAAACATAAATATATAAACACAGAGGTGACGAAGAGAAGAAACTTGGGATCATTGATTTCGATATCTAGGATTATGCGGTTCAAATGAAATATTTGGTTCATTGCCTTTTCCAGAATGAACTCAATGAATCATTTGAACTAAGAAGGCTTATTAATCTCTGTTTCTTCACCAAAAATATATTAATCTCTGACATGATTCGACTTAATCTCATATTTTTAAGATTTCTTATCTTGTAGAAGAATCATTCAGATTCCAAATCAGAATTGTTTTGTATTCATCTTTCCAATTAAAAAAATGTCCAAAAACCATAGGTTCTATAACTTAGATCCTCAACGCATCTCTGATTTGAAGAAGTTTTTACATTTTCTATATTGAGATCTCTTTTACAATTGTTTGATATTAGTAATAAAATTTGTTACAGTTTAGAACAACTAGAGATGTTGTATGTTAGATATACTAGAATTCCTTTTATCTTATGTAGATTCTGTGGATTAATTGCTCTGTTCCTGACATAAAAACAATGAAGATCTAAAATTTTTCCAAACAAGTATTGATGATCCATGGAGAAATCATGGATTTGTTGGGGCATTAGTTATCTATAATATCTGCTAGCTTCCGTTTTATGTGAAATGACATTAAAGTTTTATATTTTTTGTTGCAAATTAAATTTTTATATTTCACAGAATTGAATATGTGTTAATGTCATTTTCTTGTTCATGGTTGGTGTGCAAATATTGCTTACTATTGATGAATAAATGTGGCACTGTGGCAATTTTTATGTAAACTTTTAATTTTAGGTTA